CTGAACCTGAAGCTGAATGTCTTCTGCACTAAATTTAAATCAGAACAACACAGATTGTGCATGAGTCAGTGCGTCTCCTGTATGAAGCATGTGCAGCGCTGTGGAGGGAGGAATGTGAACAACGTGTCAAACTGTCAACACACACAAGCATGATGCAACACACACACACACACACACACACAAGCATGATCACACACACAAGCATGATCGCAAGCATGATCACACACACACACACACACACACACACACACACACACACACACACACACACACACACACACACACACACACACACACACACACACACACACACACACACACACACACACACACACACACACACACACACACACACACACACACACACACACACACACACACACACACACACACACACACACACACACACACACACACACACACACACACACACACACACACACACACACACACACACACACACACACACACACACACACACACACACACACACACACACACACACACACACCTGTGTGGGGAAATATCATTTAATTAGTGAAGGCACTGTGCAGCAGAAACAAAGCAGCGGAAAGATAAGAGTGGAGGAATTACTCATCGCTCCAGCAGTGACGGTGCAGATGCCGTAGGGTCTCACACACACTTACATCGCATCCTTCACCATCTGAACACCTTCGCTCTGTGTGTACACATATTAAGCGCTGGGACAGCAGGGAGAAATCCACCACAGTTTAGGTGTTTTCTGGAGATATTATTCTGAAACCGATCATTCTGCACTTCTTCTTTTGGTATTAAAAGATGTTTTTACATTTTTTATTTGTGACAGGGGTCTTTTTTCTTTATTTGTCAGGTGAGCCTAGTGCACCATCACTGCCTCTCTCCTCATGTTGGGGGGTGTGTATGTGTGTGTGTGTGTGTGTGTGTGTGTGTGTGTGTGTGTGTGTGTTCGTGTGTGTGTGTGTTCGTGTGTGTGTGTGTGTGTGTGTGTGTGTGTTCGTGTGTGTGTGTGTGTGTTCGTGTGTGTGTGTGTGTGTGTGTGTGTGTTCGGTGTGTGTGTTCGTGTGTGTGTGTGTGTGTGTGTGTGTGTGTGTGTTGTGTGTGTGTGTGTGTGTGTGTGTGTGTGTGTGTGTAGGCCAGCCGTCGTGTATTTATAGCAGTCCGGAGAGGAAGGAAGCTGAGCGGATGACATCCTGTGTGTAACCCGCTCACAAAGCTCATGCATGACTTCACCTCAAAGCCCCCAGGAAGAAAACTGCTTTTTATTTTGGGTGTAATTGACCGATGGAAACGTCCATAAAGATGGTTATTTGGAGAAGAGGTCATCTGTCCTGATACAAGACAACATCTTTACTTGCTAATTCAATGTCCTTGAATGAGATTTGTTTAGAGAAGGAAATCTAGATGAAGAAATTAATATTACAATGTAAATCTGAATCCAATCACCATTTATATCACAATATGGCAGATATGGCAAATCATCACCTATACAATGATTATAATTATGCCTATGTTACGTTATTATATCACATCAATTCTACTGATGTTAAAATGAAACCCTATAGTCTTAATTATTATTTATTTTTGTTTATTGAAAATAGCTTAGAATAATCAATTTACTGTGAAAAACGTAGTATCCTTTGCTCACTTTGCTGTAGTATAATTATTTGTATTACAGTATTGTTATTTTTTATACCCAATTCACTACTTTCTTTTTTACTTTTGCACAACCTGAATTTCCCATTTCGGGATCAATAAATATGTTATTAGTATTACACTGTATTCCTGTTAGCATATATAGGCCAGTAATATGTTACTTTGAGTTATTTCAGAATGTAATTAGTTAGTTTCCCACTATAAAATGTGGTACTTGGTACATATGTGAATAATAATTATTTGCAAACCTAATTTAATGGATGCATACTAAAAATCAATGTTTCTGTTTTGCATTTAGGTCGAAAAAAGTATATTTGCAAGCTTTTCGAAACCTTTTAAAAGCAAAAAAGGTTAGATGAATTGTCACCTATTGTGATTTCAATGCACTTGAACATGAGAAAGTGAAACATCTGGAAACACCTCACAGTCTGATTTCATCTCTAAACTGTAAACTCTAGCAGTCCAGTCCTGAACAAACTGGATCTGAGAGTCGTTATGATTGAATCAGACTGAACCTCCTCCCTCTCTCCAGGAAACCTCGTTGACACAAGACCCTTTCATTGTTTTCGGATAATGAACTCTGGGTAATCCGTCCTGAGTGCCAGCTTCCTCCGTTTCCTCTTCCTTTTCCCTGCAGAGGGTTTACTCCGAGGAGGAAGTGACACTCTCCGTCTCTCCGTCTAATGACACGCAGTCGCTCTGCAGCAGAACATTCAAACAACACGGCAGCAGAACAAATGGATTTACAGATGAATTTGTTTCCGTCACGCTCCGATCGGCTCCCGGCTCAATGGGAAGGAAAATTAAAAATCAACCGGGGCTGTAGAGTGGAGCTTTCACACAGTCTCTGCTCTGTGGAGCCAAACCCTTCAATTTCCTTTAACACAAAAGCCCTCAAACAGCCAGGAGACACAGAGGAGCTGCTGAGAGAGGCATGGAGGTTTTAGTGGAGGTTTTAGTGGAGGTAAACGGAGCACAAATGCCCCACAGAGCCACTTTATCATCATTAACTCAGCGTGCTTCCCTATATGGATGCCCTTACTTATGTAATATAACAAAGAGAGCGCTCCTCTTGTTAGACTGAGCTTAAATACACAGAGAAGCTACATTTGGTCATCAGTGCACGGAAGATAAAGGCTCCTACTCACTTAACATAATAACAATAACAACCATCCTGCAGGTTCATTGCATTGCATGTGTCAGCCTGTACCATATCAGTTTTTAGGAATCTCAGATATTGCAGAAGATATAACTGAGTCTTACAGTATATGTTGTTCACAGCTGCTAGATAAGACAGGATAAGATAAGAATGCAGGTGTCATGACAGTAAATACGACTAAAATACAGACTGAGATTGGCTCCATTTTCCTCTACATCAGGTACTATCTGGTCAATGAAAAGGCTAATGAATAAAGTACCTTGTGCTGTGTGCACAAATGTACAATATTATCAATATCAACATCATGTTTTGTTGCCAGATAATTCAGATGTGTTATAAGCAAGATATCCTGACAGGGACAAATGATCCAATGCAGTTTGTTAAGTCTGCTTTATTACCATAGCTACAGGACATCCTTTAAAAATAAATATAGTAGGTACATTAGGTTATATTACTCATCATGAGGATGATAAACAGTTTACAGGGGGTGAATCAGACTGCCTGGCATGCAGAGGAAACACTGGAGCCTTTCAGTAGACCCCCTCAGGTTAGCTCCTATTATTAAGTTGATACACAAAAACGCCAACGTGGAGTGACTCAACTACATCACGAACTACATGGAAATGTAACACATATGCGGCCATTATCGGACAATATTAAGCAACACACGCAGTCTGATATTTGGGGGCACAATCTCCTGTCAGGGTCCCGGCTCTGCGTGGTAGTGATTGTTATGTGTTAGTAAAGAGATAATGATGAAAGAAAAATAATGGGATTCCGGGAAAACACCAGAATAATGTCAGGCACTAGCTGCATGTCCGATAATGGATCTCACAAAATGCGCTGCACAGGTGATTGACCAACATACATCAAACTACGTAGGTTGGCTCATTTATATTAAATATACAAGCATGTAATTAGATTGTGATGCAACTACTCACAATCGATACCTTAACAACAGAAACGTATTTAAATCTCCACCACAGCTTACATTTGTATCAGGCAGAGCAGTGGAGTAGACATCATTGGAAACAGCCATTTAAATATTACGCAAGTCTATGTCATCTTGCTTGACATTGACACCCACACCTCAGGTACATTACTAAATACCCCTGTTAGATGCATTTGGGCTTGCACTTTTATTCGCTATTAAATTGATCAATAAAGCAGCTGGTATAACAGAAAACTTTACATTTCAGAGAGTATGTGCGTCATTCCGTTTGCAGAGCAACGTACACTACATAACAGAGCGTCAAGCATCACTAAAAGTGCCAATATTATAAATACAATGTGTTGGTATCTGGATTGTAATAATGCCGAATTAAATAATAGATATTTCTTACTCAAACTAAGTTATAAATGTTACTTTACCCAATAAGCAATGACACCGTTAAAACACCGATTTTTTCAATGTGGTTCAACGCAACATAATTCAAGGCGACATAGCAAACCAAACAGTGTCCGACAATGGAACTTTCAGTAACTGAGGCTGCTTCCCATCACCACAAAACAGAGCGTAAAGCATCCCTAAAAGTGAAAATACTGTAAGGAAATGTGTGGGAATCTGAATACAAATAATGCCGAATTAAAGAATAGATCTTACTCACTCTACCTAAATTATACATTTTACTTTTACGTTAATATGTATTCCCAAATAAGCAATGCAACCGTTAAAAGACAGTTTTGTTCAACGTGGTTCAACACAACGTTCTCTGAATTCAACACCACAGAACAGAGCGTCAAGCACCACTAAAAGGGCATATATTATAAATAAAATGTGTTGGTATCTCAATAAAAACAATGCCGAATTAAAGAATAGATATTCCTCACTCAACCCAAGTTACACATATTACTTTACCGTGAATATTTAGTCATAAATAAGCAATAAAACAGTTAAAACACACATCTTTGGTCACGTTCTCAGGATTCAACACCACAGAACAGAGCGTCAAGCATCCCTTAAAGTGCAAATAGTATACATAACATGTGTTGGTATCTGGATAAAAACAATGCCGAATTAAAGATTAGATTTTCCTCACTCAACCCAAGTTCTAAATGTTACTTTACCTTGAATATTTAGTCGCAAATAAGCAATGCAACCCTTAAAACGCCAATTTGTTCAACGTGGTTCGGCGCAACGTAGCAAACCAAACAGTGTCCGACAATGGAAACCTCCAGGACTGCTTACCTGCAGCTCGGCCCTCTCCACGTCCCAGTGCGCCCTGTCCACCTCGTAGCGGGCCCACTCATGCTGGAGGAAGTGTAAGATCCCCGGGATGTTGTACTGAGATCTGGCCGCTTCTCCGCCCCCTGTGTCCACAGTCTGCGGAGCTTTAATATTCCCAGGAAAGCCCGAGTTGTTGTTGTTGTTATTGAAGAAGGGGCCCGCCTGCTCGTCCATGGCCGGACCGGGGCGATGCTGCGTCTGCTTCGGGTCCGGTACTCTCACCTGAGTCGGTAAAATATCCTCCGGAGGGAAATACGGTCCATTAAAAACGGTCCTGTTTCTGCAACACAACTCCTGTCTGAGCAGCTGTCAGATGATGCGACGACTGCGAGGTACCGGAAATAATACAGACGCACACTTCTGGTCAGAGATTTCAAAATAAAACAAACGTTGTTGCACAGTACAATAACTGAAACATGTATAGGCCTTACAGTACATAACAATCATGGACGTCCCTTTTTGAGAAAAAGTGGTGGGGACACTTTCCTCAGATATAAAAAAAACACTACTGCAACAATACACGGGAGAAACACTTTATTTACTATTCTCTATTAAGTTATTACTCATATTAAAAAGTGTTGCAGGTCCAAATTGCACCAGAAGTACACCCAAAAAGTGTGAACAGTCCTGGAGATTGTACATGTTCTCTTGTGCAAATAAACTCAAAGTGTACAATTCTTTGTGCACGCTATTTTGAGAAAATGCTTAGTGGTGGGGACAAAATTGGCAATTTCCAACAGTGGTGGGGAAATGTCCCTAATGTCCCAAATGATGCATATGATAACAATAATAATAATAATAACAATACCAAACACCAAAGTAATAATAATTATTAAATAGGAAATATGTAGTATTTTTTGTGTATTTAGTGAATTATGATATTTTTAAGTAGAGTCAAGAGACACAAAAACATGACACAACAGTAGGATGAAATAACAATAGCAGATCAATTATTTAATTAAATTACCAAATGTCACACATACACTCAACTTGACATTGAAAATAGTTAGATAACACATCTTACAAAAAATTATAATTGTAAAGGGTTTTATTTAGTCCATTCTTTTTTTGTTTTACTATGAATCTATTATTAATAATTACATGTTGGTTATCATGTTTTTTTTTTTTAAATCATTCCAGATTTAATATACATGTATTTTTTGGATGATCCATTTCAAATAGTAACGAGAACTCGATGTACTCACTATATATAGAATTCGACGAAGACTTTTATTTTGAAGGCACAGCCGTTTTAATACCGGTATCTCTTTGGCTAATGTAAGATCTCTTGACACACCTGTGCGGTGACATCAACCCAGCTTAGTCCCTCCCACTACTGTAAATACTGTCACACCATTGGCTGATCAGATGAATGACAGGAAAACTATTGAATTAAAGAAGAGCGTGGGCATCACCACACTAGTATGTGTGAAGCAGATATTAGGTTCATGTTTCTCATTACAAATTGAGTTTTTAGCATTTATTTAATAACTCATTTATAGTCTCAGAGTTTAAATAAAACAAAATAAAATATTTGTTTGCCCAAATAAAGTCATGGGGTCCTAATTAAATATGAACAAACACAGTTTCTGGCCACGTTAGACTTTAACTTGTCTTTATTATTATTCATTTTGAAAATTGAACATATTATTTTAAATGGGCTGAAATGGCATCACAGTGACAAGTACTAGGCTACATTTATTTGACGTTACATGTTCTTACTTTTGTAAGTGACAAAAGAGAACAATATCATTTTCTATAATAACATAACCTTTTTCAATGAGTCATTCTGCATTAAGAGTACTTTTACTTTGAATAGTTTAACTAAAGGTCTACATTTTGCTATTAATATTCAGAGGTGGGTAAAGTACATTTACTCAAGTACTGTACTTAAGTACATTTTTGAGGTACTTGTACTTTACTTGAGTATTTTAAATGTGTGCTACTTTGTACTTTTACTCCACTACATGTATTTAATACCTTTAGTTACTTTACAGATCTGGATGAATGATGTGAAATATAATCAAGTGTTAAATCAGACTTTAGTTCCACCTGGAGTAAATTCACAAGCTACCCTGCAGTATACAAAGTCATTCAAACTAGCTGCACCTTCACCAGCTTTGAGATCACTTTAATGATCAATCATTATAAAACATATCATATATATTATTCTGAAATGGGCCAATCTGCACAATGAATACTTTTGGTACTTTAAGTATATTCTAATGCTGATACTTTTTTTTTTTTTTACTTGAGTAACATTTTTGAATGCAGGACTTTTACTGTAACAGCGTATTCCTACACTCTGGTACTTCTACTTTTACTCAAGTACAAGATCTGAGTACTTCTTCCACCTTTGCTGCTGTTCTGGGTTGTAATATACTTTTGAGCAGTGGTGAAAGAAGTAAGCTATGATTTCTCAGCTTGTGTTAATGAAGCAATCAATAGAGCACTGATTCCTTTATATATAAGTATATTTTATGCCAATACTTTTATACTTTTACTTGAGTAACATTTTGAATGCAGGACTTTTACTTGTAACAGAGTATTCCTACACTCTGGTACTTCTACTTTTACTCAAGTACATAATCTGAGTAGGCCTACTTCTCCCACCTCTGCTGCGTAATCAATGAGAAACATAATGTATGATGTCCTTTATTGTTTTATGTTTCATGTGGAACCTGCAGGTCTCCCTTGAAAAAGAGATCTATGATCTCAATGGGACCAATCTGGTTAAATAAAGGTTTGAAATGAAATGAAATGAGAAACATTTACTCAAATACAATTTTGAGGTGCTATTATTGTAGATTCAGATAAATAATACAACATATAATCAACAATATGATCTACTATAACTATGTAAAAGATAATACAGCTCAGTACTTCTTCCACCTCTGTTAATATTTGTGTACTTTTATCCTACTCAAGTAGACTAACATGTTCAATTCAGGTTTTCTACCTCTAATAAAGTATTTTTGGTCTTACTGTAGTATTTGTACTTCAGTTCAGGGTCTGACAGTGAGCTGCGGATCTAACCTGATTTCAGATGATTCACGATGCTCTGCAGCCATGTGCCAATCAGCTGATGCGCCACAGCTGCCTGTCGTCGCTATTTAACTCCTGCTCTCTGCAAGCCTCATGCTAACCCTATTCCTCTCCTCTCCTGCACCACACACACTCACACACACTCACACTAACACACAGGGTGACACACACAGCATGCCTCCGTTTGACAAGACCCAGGTGCCGAGCAAGTCCTTCAAACTGAGGAAGAGCTTCGGTAAATGTCTCAAAAATGACAAAAAAAGTAGGAAAATTCTTTAAAAAAAATCTTTTAAAAAACTCTGATTTGTGTTTTCTTGCAGCTACAAGGAAACAAGAGGTGGCGGCGATCAGGTCGAAATTCCCCAACAAAATCCCGGTAAGTTTGCAGCAGAAATGCCTCCATTTTAAGCATTAAATGTGTTTTCTATACGTCTGTGAACTCACCGGTTTGCCTGGTGTTTGCAGGTGATCATTGAGTGCTATGAGAGGGAGAAGTATCTGCCTCCTCTGGATAAAACCAAGTTCCTGGTGCCGCATGAACTCACCATGACTCAGTTTGTCACCATCATCAGGTACAATCTCACTGTTTTAAAAAGTCTATAAGTGTTGAACATGTACATACATTAGAAAGGGCTTCATTGATCTGTTTACAAAGATTTTAAACATTGGGAATCTGACTATTTGCTGGAATTTGCAGCCATTAAACCAGGTGATGTTGGTTTTAATATGTATTATTCTAGTGGATTGATGGATATGGGATTTATTTTATCGATTAATGTGCTGATGATTTCCTGGTTTATTTGTCTATGAAAGGTAGTAACCTGTTAAAGCTCCTTTTTGTAAACCAACCCTCCAAAACTTAAAGGGTTTTGAATTTATGAAATTGGGGACTGGAAATCTTTCTTATTGAAAAATGGCATTTGCAATAAAACTCATCTGCTCAATTGTTTAAGCTCTAAAACTATGGAGTATTGTTTGTGGGAAATGTATTTAAGCTACTTAATAGGAAAGTCTTAAATACACTTTTGCACATTTTGGTTTTTCTTTACAAGTTGTCTTTACTTTAATTCAAGGCTGCTTTTTTACATTGACTAGTGGTACTGTGTTAAGCTGGAGCAGAGATTTAAAATATATATTTGTTTAGTAAGGAGATGTGGGTTAGGGTGTATCTTCTGTAAATGTTAATCTATAGAAAACCTAACGTCACTGAGTCTGGAGTTCCTGAGATGCTGTTCGTCATGATTACACAGCAGAAACGGAGTGTCCCCGTTTCCTACACACTGTTGTTCCTCTTCTAATACTGAGTCCTAATGCAGGCAAAGAGTCCAACTATTCTTTAAAATGTAATCAACATATTAAACGATACTCATTTTAAAAGGGTGATCTATAATATTCATGGGTTATAGTGCAGATGTCTGCTTTATGTAAAGTGTCACGCTGATGTTTGTTACAAAACATCTGACTGTTTGACACGGTCACTCCCGATTTTCTCCTTTTTTATCAGATTTAAAATAAATGGTCGGTCACACGCTCGTCTCTGCTGCTTTTAGAGTAATTACACTTGGATTCATGCAGCCTGTTAGTAAATGTTGGTTTTTAATCAATTAAATAACATATTTGAATGTAAGGACACATCTCTTAAATACATTTTTACCTTTTAAAAAAAAAATCCCGTTTCTCCAAAGATAGTTTGATTTATAGAAGCTGTCAGATGTTTGTCTTTTGTTCTGCCAATAGTTTGATGTTAGTGTAAGTAAATGGATTTTATTTTGTCGCGCTAAGAACCTTAACACAGTGACATTACTTGGTCTATTTCTTAACCTGTCCCTCCTTTTCTAAGTCTGGATAAACTGCATTGTAGCATGGGAGCGTTGTACTGCAATGAGATGGAGGTAACTTCATATCTTCATGGGTCGATGGCTTATATTTTTTTAATTTATATTTTCTCCATGTAGTTATTACTCAAAGATTGCTTCTTTAAAAAAAAAAAAATGTTGATAGATTATAATCAGTGATTCTGCTCAACTGTGAAGATTATTTGTAATTATTTAGATAAATGTTGACTATTTATTAGATTCCACTCATTTTAAAAATCAATGGCCTGTCAGTCACAGCCTACAAATACTTAGTTACATGAAACCAATAACATAATCAAATGCAACGCCACATATTTTTACAAAGAATACAAACTGTCCTTATTCTGCTCTTAAGCAATAACCCCGTCACTTTTTTTGGTTCCTGATTTTGTGTTTGTCACCGTTGCACAGCAGAAAGTCAGCACTTATCTTCTTCAGACGTAAAGAGCGTGTTAATCTCCTGACTGCTCCGTGATCAGTTACAGCTTCTATCATGGAATATGACGAAACTGCAATTACATAAAAGCATGACGCGTGAACATGCTCCTCACACAACACGGTCCCAAATCAATACTACATGCTCATAGTACACTGTATAGTCATTTTACACTAGAACATGCTGCTTGGTTTCAAACGACACATCTTAAATAAACTATACTTAAAAGTAAATTTAAAGGAGGTCTGTTACAGAGTTCGTATCTGCTGGAGAATAGTTCCTGAAGTTTCCTTTAATCTCAGTTTAGCAATGGTTGTTTCTGCAGGATTTATGACGTTCCAACCACTCGGTGTTCAGTATGCAATAATACATATCTTTCTCTGAGGGAGAAAGATTAAGTATATTTTATATATAAGGGTTAAAGTCACTTGTGTCTACTTCATTTAATGTTAAATCTGTCACTTAAAGATGCCATTTAATCTGGGATTATTGTTTGTACAACCGAAGAATGTTGGATTAGGGGAGGGGAAACATTTGTTAATGTTGTGTCGGGGTAATCAACATTTTTAAAATGACTATTTGGATTAATTGGGATAAATCTAACAGGAGGTTTCTTTTCCAAACTCTTATCACTTTTTCCTGTGTTAGTTTTTTAAATTTCTACTTTGATGCATTGTCTTTGTGCGACGCATTCTTGTGTTTTCCAATGTGAACACAAATACCTAAAATGCTCAGATTAACAGAGGCATTTGGTCAGGGCTGACGTTTGCAGCCTTGGGTAAGATCATCTTGATCCATTGAGAGGAATCGCAGCTCATCCACAGGCCATAAGACTACTGAATGCCTGAGTTTACACTATTTTTTTTTATTTTAAATTAGTTGTATTATTGCATTGTTGAAGAACTTGTGACTCAAGTTTTTCAATCATTACATACTACACTTTAGTTGTGTTTTTATATATAACACTACGAGCTGTGGTGCAGTGCAATTTCTCACAAAAAGTAAAATGCTCAGAATGAAGACTGGAATTTGGTCAGCCCTGACACGTGATTGAGAAAAGAAAACATGTAAATATTTACATATAGTGTTTTCTTTGCTGGTGGGATAATCTCTCATAAGCTTTTTATTTTTGCTCAATTGTCATCTCAACCTCTTATTTATCTATTTTTTTCCCAACACTTAACTTAAAAAAACGTTTATTGAGCTGTTTCTTGCGTGTCTACAATGTTTTTCTTATTGCTGTGGCGCAGCACCTTTTTTTTCCTTGTGCAATGCACTTGAGTTCCCAATGTGAACATGCATACTTAAAATACTCAGACTTTAACACTGGAATGTTCTCAGAGCTGCTGGTGATAAAACAATAGCAGCTTCACATTAGCGCTGCGGCTAACCGTGTGCTGTTCGTCCCTCATTAATGTCTTCTCTCTGTCCTCTGCAGAGGTGGGAAGTAGTGGAGTACAAATACTTCGTTAAAGTACTCAAGTACATGTTTCTGGTATCAGTACTTTACTCCACTACTTATTTTTCTGACGACTTTCTACTTTCTACTTCTTACATTTTGAACACAAATACCTGTACTTTCTACTTCTTACATTTTGAACACAAATACCTGAACTTTCTACTTCTTACATTTTCCAAACAGGCTGGTTCCTTTAGTTTGAATGTGTGTTTGGTGGCGTGATCATTATTATTTAGAGTCATTGCGTGCCTATTGATTTGAACACGATCCGTGTATCCATCATTTCCTGGTCTTCTCTAAAGAAGAGGGACCAATGGAAACGTTGTCATGTTGCCGTTGTTCAGCATGGAAACATTCATTCGCTAACAATGACATTATTGTTCTATTAATATAAAGGGAGGTCAGGTACTCTTTAAAACAGCTGCTAGTTATGGGTACTTTTTACTGAAGGACATTTCAAAGCCCATACTTCTTTACTTTTACTTGAGTAAAGAATTTTAGTCAGTACTTCTACTTTTACCATATTATTTTTGAACGTGAGTATCTGTACTTCTAATTGAGTAAAGGATGTGTGTACTGTTGCCCTCTCTGGTCCTCTGTCCCTCATTAATGTCTCCTCTCTGTCCTCTGTCCCTCAGGAACCGCATGGCGCTGCTGCCCACTCAGGCCTTCTACCTGCTCATCAGTAACAGCGGTCTGGCCTCCATGTCCCTCACCATGGCTCAGGTCTACAAAGACCACCAGGACGAGGACGGCTTCCTCTACATGACCTACGCCTCACAGGAGATGTTCGGACACTGACACACAGAGCTCCTAGCTTTACATTTTATTCAGTATTAAATGGCTGCTGCTGCTGCTGGCCTCCGTATCTGCTGTAAATAGAAAAAAACATGTTGTATTTATTGTAATATTTGTTACTGTTTTGGGATTTTAATTAAAGTATGTGGATCCAATAAATCTTATGTAAAGAATGACTGCAGTGTGGTTGTCCTGCTTGATCAAATATTACTTCATTAGATTCAAAGCCACTCTTAAAACTCAATTATTAAAAGTATTACTTGTATATTATATGCTGCTGCAGCTTGGGTAACAGATTTTTACAACAAATATTCAAACTCAATACATCTTAATGTTTTTCTCTGGATGGGAAGGGACAGAAAAGTATCTGAATGTAATTAAAGCTGTCAAACTGTGAAAGGTACAATATGTACCTCCTAAAATGAACTGGAGTAAAATGTTTAAAGTTGTAATTAAAAAGTACCTCAAATTTAACAGTCAGCAGTTTTGCGTCCGACTCTTTCCTTCTCACCTCACTTATCTGAACTACTGACTCCTGCAGTGCATTGTGGGACATAAGTGAGACTGTCAAATTGATTATTTGTGCAGAAGGTTCATAAGTCAGTTTCTGTACTTTAAAGTAAACATCCAAATAAATGCATTTAAATGTCCTTTGTCCAGACACTAGATGGCAGCAAAGATCAACACATCTGATCACAGAGCTTCCCTCAATTTATCAGAAATGTTAGGTCTAAAATAAGCTGATAACTATGTATATCATTTACTGCCTTTAATTTGAGGATATTCCAATTATAGGGGACATTTTTTGCTGACGCAGTGTGGTAGTATTTTTATTTAAAAGATCTGAATACTTTCTCCAACACAGGCTCTCACACTCAGGATACAGTAATTAGATTGCATCATAGTAAACCACATCTGACTATAACTTTATGTTGAACTAGTTTCAGATTTTACATTTTAAAGAGGATTTATTTGCATTAATAGATGTTATTGGCAAAGCACATTTTTAAAATGCAAACTATAAAACAAGGAACAATATTGACAATATTTTAGGACGTAAAATCCATAAAGGAAGCCATAAGTAACTGATGGATATCACTTAAAGGTGGGGTAGGTAATTCACTTCAGAAACACTTTTTGTTATATTCCATGGAATGCTCTTAACATCCCGATAGCAATGAATAGATACATTAAATGCTTTGACAATAAATACATAACAAAATGTCATCTGTGGAAGCCATGGCGCTGTAAAAAGCACGACCAATCACCTGAGCCGGCCCGGCTAAAATAACTGGATGGCCTACCTGCCTGTCAGCCTTCCATATGTGCACAAACTTATCTCGTGCCCTCATTGGTCATGTGCGCGTTCGTGTGTGTTGGAGGAGGGGCTCTGTAAGGAAGTCTGAAGGAAGGGGCAGATTTTTTTCGGCTGCGTACTTTCAAATTCTAGCTTACTCGAGCTGGTTTCTCCATTCTTACCTACCCTACCTTTAAGATATATAAATATATTATCAAATAGGAATAACAAAGAAAATACACTGAGCAAATACATGTAGAGTTATAAAATCAACTAAAACAAAGATCCTAAGTTTAATGTGACTATAAACACTTCCCATTCCTCAAATGAAGATACGTTACATTCACCGTTTTTAAATGTTTCGTCATTTGTGATTGATGCAAGTGCTGACCATGAACAAGTGTACACATTTGAAAGTAAATCAGATCACACATTTGTTTTAAAGCGTCCACAAAGAGGCGCTCTCTTTCTCTGCTGCTTCACATTAAACAGTTTTATCTGTTATGAGAAAGTGGTGCAGTGGTTAAGTCGTTACTTCCTTTTTTTTAACCAGATTTAATTACAGACGTCATTAGAGGAGCTGGTGAGAGTGGTTCTCTGGATCTCACTGAAACTCACTTCACGCTCCATTAACTGTAATTGAATTAACAAAAAAGTGATCACGTCCACTGAATCTGCAGAGGAGGAAACAGACTGCTTTAATTCAACTATAGTATGCCATGAAACAAGTTGACTATGTAGTACGTACCAATACATCAGGGTTTTTCATGTCCAATGTTAGGCGCTGAAAATCGTATAACTACACAGTATATGGAAGTAGATTTGTCTCAATATTATTTGTGTGAACAGAATAATAATCTGTGTGTAGATGTGTAATCTGTAAAAGTAAAACACATTCCACAAATGCAAAAAATGGTCATAAACTCACAAATATGTTTTTTTGCAAACATAAAAATGATCTACACATACGCAAACTACTTCCACAAATGAAGAAGATCTGTGAATATTATAATTTACAAATTACTAAAAAGCATTTGTGGATATCCTTCTAACATATACAACTTTCCATCAGGCATTTGTGAATGCAGTTTGTTTCTCAATTCTCTGTTGGTTTATGGGCTTTTCCTGAGTGATTCCTGAGTCGTGGATCCTGAGTCGTGGATCCTGAGTCGTGGATCCTGAGTCGTGGATCCTGAGTCGTGGCTGTGCTGTCGTTGTTCTCCTGACTGACGCTCACCTTACTTCTTCTTCGATGGCGGCCAGAGGATTGTTGAGAGAGAAACTGAGTGTATTTCAGTCGGAGGTTCAGTTTAATGTCCTGCAGCAATCAGCTGGTGACCGCAGGCCTCCTGAGGAAGAATCTCTGCAGTTAATGAAGCTTCACACACACACACACACACACACACACACACACACACACACACACACACACACACACACACACCACACACACACACACACACACACACACACACACACACACACACACACACACACACACACACACTCATTACGCTGTCTGGTTTTACTCTTGTTTGGGAAATGGGTTTTGTCTCATCAATGAACAGACTCTGGGGTTTATAGAGGAGGAAATCAGGGAGAATAAACTTTTACATTAAAGATTTAACTTTTCACTTTAGTTTCCCCAAGTCAGTGAATCCTGCACAGCTTCAATCAATTACTTTCTGCCTTTTAGTGTAGGAGCTTGTGATACAAAATGATACAAATGACCATATTGTAAACCATAATGTGATTTAAAAAGGAATAAAACTCAACGCTAACCTCAAAGTGGCGCTAGAGATTTAAAAATATGTGTTCTAATTTTACTGATTTATTGACATTAGAGTCACGTTATCAGCAGCACCAACGGTTGTGAGGAGCATCCTAATACTGCAGCTGTGTCCACACACACACACACACACACACACACACACACACACACACACACACACACACACACACACACACACACACACACACACACACACACACACACACGCTTTGCCTTTTAATATTCACTTAAGGACTTAAAGGATTATACTGATTCTTTACAAGTTGGGTTTCGTTTTTTTTAGGCTAAGGGGCGGGACATTGCAGTTGACCAATCACAACAGAGCCGGCCAGCTAACCAATCAGAGCAGACTGGGCTCTGGTTTCAGACAGAGGGTGAAAAGAGGTGCTGCAGCACAGGCAGTATGAGAAAAATAAAGACCTTTTTGAACATTAAAGCATGGAGACATGTAGAGACACTACATACTGATATACACCTGAACATCAGCAGGAGAGGACTCTTTAAAGTAGAGACACTACATACTGATATACACCTGAACATCAGCAGGAGAGGACTCTTTAAAGTAGAGACACTACATACTGATATACACCTGAACATCAGCAGGAGAGGACTCTTTAAAGTAGAGACACTACATACTGATATACACCTGAACATCAGCAGGAGAGAACTCTTTAAAGTAGAGACACTACATACTGATATACACCTGAACATCAGCAGGAGAGGACTCTTTAAAGTAGAGACAATACATACTGATATACACCTGAACATCAGCAGGAGAGGACTCTTTAAAGTAGAGACACTACATACTGATATACACCTGAACATCAGCAGGAGAGGACTCTTTAAAGTAGAGACAATACATACTGATATACACCTGAACATCAGCAGGAGAGGACTCTTTAAAGTAGAGACACTACATACTGATATACACCTGAACATCAGCAGGAGAGGACTCTTTAAAGTAGATACACTACATGCTGATATACACCTGAACATCAGCAGGAGAGGACTCTTTAAAGTAGAGACACTACATACTGATATACACCTGAACATCAGCAGGAGAGAACTCTTTAAAGGAGAGGCACTACATACTGATATACACCTGAAATTAGCATACTGTGTCCTCTTTAAGTAAAAGAGGACAGGCAGTATGAGAAAAATAAAGAGCTTTTTGAACATTAAAGCATGGAGACACGTCACAGTAGAGGAACAGAATACAAATATGAACTTGAAAATGAGCAGAATACGTGCTTTTTTGGTCAAATTAGAGCAAATCCGACATTAAAATAAGAGAACACTGCATTTACTTTATTAGACTCTGCGGAGGTCTGTGTCCAGTTTAGTTTCAAGGAGTAAAAGTGACCGCGTCCTTGTTGATATTCACCCAACAGTTCAGCCTCACTTGATGAGCCATTTGCCGACATAAAATGTCCCATTTAACCTGCGGCTCATTAAAAGTTCATGTGTTCCCTTCACAACCTGGAGGAAGGAGCTTTAAATATTCATGAAACTCTCACCTCCACAAAACCAGACCTTGTCTTTGCATGGCTGCAGATTCCTCCTCCTCGTCGGGATTAAGGTTATTAAATTGCAATTAAACCATACTTCATATTAATATTCATGCGTTACTCTATTAGACAGGACTAGAGAGGATTTTTCCACTCTAAAATGTTCTAAAACATATCTTTGATTAAAGGACAAAACACATGACAATGGCCATTTATTTGTTTATCAAATATTGAATTGATAATCTGAATCTGAAAAGAAATGTCAAGGTGAAAAGTACAATATTTTCTTCAGAGATGTAGAGGAGTATAAAGTGGAATAACAAGAAAATACTCAATAAAATAACACAAAATTGTACTTTATTGCAGTATTTGAGTACATTTACTTGGCTATTTTCCACCACTGATGACAGCTTGGATGAAAACGTCCTGCAGTGTGTCAGAGATCGGCCTTCTGCTGAGAGTACACACACACACACACACACACACACACACACACACACACACACACACACACACACACACACACACACACACACACACACGCACGCACACATGCACGCGCACACACACACACACACAC